GACCCCGGCCCCACGGGCGGACACTCGGCCGGGCAGCCGCGGGCCGCGCGCAGCCGCCTCCGCCGCCGCCGCCGATGCGCCTGGTGGCCGGACGCCAAGTGGAAGCCGCGGACGCGCAGCCTCGCGGTAAGAAGCTCCGGGCCGCCGGTCGGGACCCCGCCGCTCGCTTTTCCCCGCACGCGCGCCCCTCGTTCCGCAACCCCGCGGAACTTTGGCGGGACGAGCGCCCCGGGGGGTTGGAGTCCTGGGGGCCGCGAGCCTCGGGGACGGGGATGGGAGCGATCGGTGTCTCAGAGCAGCAGGAACCCCATTGGGGAATGGGGGTCCCCAACCCTGGGGAAGCGTGGGTGACAGGTCGCTCTTCCTTGCCCTCAGCCATTCTTTTTCCTGTGGAGCGGCGGGGAGGGAGGACAGACGGGGCTTTTGGGATTTTGCTCACGTCCGAAGTCAGGCTGCGACGGGCTGGGACTGGGGAGGTCGGGCGTCGGAGCGACGGAGGAGAGGAGCGCTGGAGCCCGAAGGGGGCAATTCTGCAAGCCTTTTTTCCCCCTCCCAGACACTTTTTTAAAAGCCAACGGCCGCCCTGGGAGAGGCCCTGGCGCATGAATCATCCTCGCTTCCTGCCCCCGCCCGGCCCCGCGCCCCGCGCGCCGGGTGCCGCGGATTTGAACTGGACGCCGACGGGAACCCGCAAACAGGCATTTCTTTGCAGATGTGTTTGAATCAACCAATCACGGCCCGCGGGGGCCTCTCCGGGAGGATGGGGCGGGGTGGGGGCCGCCACGGAGGCCCCCGCTCGGTCAAGGGAGGTGCGGCGACCCGGCCGGCTCCCAAAGGCGCAGCGTGGGAGGAAGTGTCAGTTTGTGAACCTGCTGCTGCCCAGGCGGCCGGGGACCTCGCAGCGCCCAGGGAGCCAGGTGACAGGAGAAGACAGGAGGTCCCACTGCATCCCCTGCCCAGTGCTGGTGCTCTCTGCCCTGGAGAAAATAGAGGAACTGGGGTGGGGGGACACGCGGCCACCCTTCCCTGGGAAGCCACCACCTGGGCAGTGTCCTGCCCACCTTGGGGCCCTAACATGTATTTAGTTTCACATACTCATTTACACCTGCACTGCTATGGACATCCTCTTACACAGTCTCGAAGGAGTGCGCACATACACACACACACACACTCTCCCATGCAGACATGGACAGGACCCTCCCAATGGACATCTTAGTCATGACAGCAGGTGCCCAGTGCCACGGAAAGGGAGGGGACCAGATTAAGAGGTGCAGGGAACCAAGAGCAAGGCTGTTTGGCTGCAGTGAAAAACCAGGGGTGCAGGTGTGCATGGAGCCAGGTGAGCCCAGACAAGAGAGGAGGAGACGCTGAACACTAATCAAGGCCATAAGGTTCCTGGAAGAGTCTGGAGGAAAGGCAGAAAAGCAGGACTGGGCTGGGCGGTGGTGGTGAACTTCCGCACCAGGCTCAGGAAACAAGTACTGAAGGGGTGGATGAATGAATGGCCCAAGCAAAAGAGGCCTGAGCCCAGACCAGGACAGGAAGATGGAAAAGAAGGCACAGAGCACAGGTCATTGTGCTGGAGGTTGGCCAGCTGTGACAGCTCCCGGGTTGGAGAAGTCTGGGGTGCCTGGGGCTCCTGGGGACCATGGTAGCAGCCTTCCAAAGGGCAACAGCACATCTACCAGGATGAGGAGAGCCAGGCGTGGGGAGGCCAATGGGGTTGGCAGTGTTGCTTAGTGCAAATGTGCATTTGGGTAACAGGATGAGCAGCTTTAAATGCCCCAGAATTGGTATCCATGAAATCATCCCATAATTGGCAACACAAAAGGGGATCACAAAAGATACAGATAGCCAAGTCTACACTAGTTCACAAGCCACTCAGGAGTTTTCCCTCCTAGGGGTGGATCTCAGGGTAAGGATGGGTGATGTTCGGCCTCTTGCGTGCTCCTTGGAGATGGTGGCCAACCCAGAGAACATGGAGCGTGTTTGCCTAAGGGAGAAAACCTCAGTCTCCTGGGATAGAGTTATGGTTCAAGCGTCCCATACAGAGCCTCTGCTCTGTGTTGGTTCAAGATTCATTCTCCTCAGAAGCAGCAAAGTTTAGGGGTAAGAGATCAGGACTTAGGATCAACTTACCTGATTATGAACCAGGTCTCTGACTGGCCCACCAGCTGCTTCTCCTTGCCACACCTGTTTTGCCGTCTGCAAAATGGGAATAATAATGTCTCCCTCCTCTGGGGGTGTCATGAGGATTCAGTGAAATAATAAATATGCCTGGCACACAGCATTGATGACAGAAACGGTAGTATTATTTTTCTCCTGATGGACTTTCAGGAGCAGGGAAGCAAGAAATAAAAACCTTGTTCTCTTTTTCTTCAAGTGTCAGCGGAAGCTGATGGAGAATCGAGCTCTGGATTCAGGGACTCGGGACTCCTATGGTGCCACAAGCCACCTCCCCAACAAGGGGGCCTTGGCTAAGGCCAAGAACAACTTCAAAGAACTGATGTCCAAGCTGACAGAGGGCCAGTATGTGCTGTGCCGGTGGACAGATGGACTGTATTACCTTGGGAAGATCAAGAGGGTAAGGCTTTCCTTTCTGGCCCCTCTTCCCAGGCTCAGCATCTCTCTGTTCATCCTGTCTGGTCTTCAGACTAGCGATAGGAGATTCCCCAGGAGTTTCCCTTATGTCCATCATGCCCAGAAACTGATGGTAGAAGGAGCCAGAGCCTGGTTTTTCCAGCACCATCCCTAGGACCAACATCATCCATTGAACTCTTTAGTAGGTTGCTCTGAGAATCCACAAAGCAAATAGAACCAGGCTGGAGAGGAGTATAGGTGACCATGTGGCCTGTTTGTCTGCGTTTGACTCGGCCAAGTTGACTCGGCCAAGTTGCCCTGTAGCCCCTGGCTGTCAGCTCCAGGGCTAGGAGCACAGAGCTGCTAACTTCCTCTTCTAGCTTAGCCCTGCTTTCTGAAGCACAAGGAAATAAAAAGCGAGGGAGAACATGCTCTAGCTGGGCTCTTCTCCAGCTACTCTCTCATGTTGGTTCTCTCTGTGCTCCAGGTCAGCAGTACTAAGCAAAGCTGCCTTGTGACTTTTGAAGATAATTCAAAATACTGGGTCCTGTGGAAGGACATACAGCATGGTGAGTATTCCTGACATTTAGGATACTCCTGCCCTCCCCTGTCCTCTCTCTGCCACTACCATCAGTGTTTCCTTCTCTCCTTCTGTCTCTTATTCCTGGCATCTGTCCTCTGTCCTGGTCCAGGAACCTCACCCCCTGCCCCCAGAGATGATGATCAGATTACCAGATGTGTGATACTTGTCCTCGCCTTCAGTGCCCAGGCCTCATGAGAGAGGCAGGGAAGATAGGGAAATGGCTCAGGGAGCTGTGGAGCGCCCTGGGACTGGGTCTTAGGTCTGTGTTTCTTTGCTGCACTCTGTCTCCTGCTGCTCAGAGTTCTGGGTCTGCAGGGAATAAGAATGAGGAGGACACCCGGCAATCAGAATGTCACCTCAGCATATGAAGAAAGCTAATGAGTAGCTTTATCCCTGGGGCAAGGAGTTATAGATGGAGAAACACCGAGAAAACAGATGGCTCAGTCAGGCATCATGAAGGTGGACATGCCTGGTAGGGCTGAACCTGCTTTCAGGATGGAAAGGGAGCTGGGCTTGGTACCATCCCTGCTACAGAGAACTAACACTGTCTTACAGAGATCACAAATCTGGGGCTTTATTGCTGCCATTCTCTCTCCCACACACATGACAGATGTCAATAGTCAGCCATGACTCTCATTTTGTAACATAGAGTTCCAAGCAACCACTACCAATCAGAGTTGGCAAAAGAGAAGAAAGCTGTTTGCCATTTATCCTTAACAGGAAAATGAATGCAGCTCTTTGGGAGGAAGAGCAGGTTTTAGGGTCAGATAGACCTTGCACCAAGTTCTAGCTTTGCCCATTACTAGCTGCATAGCCTTGGGCAAGTAACATCACCTGAGTTTCAGTTTCTTCCTCTGAAAGGAGGTAATGAAAGTCCTGGCATGAGAGTGATTAAGGGGATTAAATCAAATAATCCATGTAAAATGCATAGCCCAATGCTCCTGAGTTACAGGAAAGCAGTTTTTAAAGAACATGTTACAGTAAAAGGTGATTCCAAGAAATCTGCCAGCTGGAGACCTCAGAACCCAGCTAGTTGGTAAAGAACTTGTGATGAAGGAAGACTGATTCCTTCTCCCAGCCCCTCAGTCTAAATTTATAATATACAGCTCCAAAGCCATGAGGGTCTCCTGTCCTAGTTGCTCTCTTATTGAAGCATAAGGACCCAGGTGGAGAAGAAATACAGTTCACCTTAGCAGGGCTTTTGTAGAAACCCCACTGCATGCCAGGCACTATGGAGATACTATAGCTATTGTACAGTCCCTGGCTGGATGCCTGCTCCTCCTGGGCGCCATGGTGGCCCTCTCCTAAGGTGAAAACACAGGTTGGGGACACTGGGGTTATGATCCATTGCTTCAGTAAGCCACTGAGAACTTACTGAGACCAACAGTGGCACCTCTTTCCTGGAGCACATTCAGAATAGGAGGCAACATCCTTGTTTGGCGAGTTATTCACCAAACATGTCTTGAATACCTATTACAGGCCAATTCCAAATGAGGTCCAAGGGATACAGAGATAATGTGACATCATTTCTGCCTTTACAAAACTTTCAGCCTCCATGTTACATAAGACAGAAGCACACATTGAAATATATTCATACAACTCTTACAGACATAAAAACATTTATTTTTCAACAAAAAATGAAAGCAATAGAGAGGGAATCAGTAGATGAAAAGCAGTCCTAAAAGCATATCAACTGGTCACCATGTCTGGACTTTATTTAGATCTTGATTCAAAACAACAAAATATGATATTTTTGAGAGACAGAAATGTGAGCACTAACTGAATTTATTGATATTTAGATCAATAAAGGCTCTGGTTTTCTTTTTTGAGTCCTGATCTTTTAAAGATACAACCTAAATATTTATGGAAAAATGATTGTAATCTAGATCTTGATTTAAAATAATGACAAGAAGGAAAAGTGGGTTGTATTATAGTCAAAACAAGATTGACCAGGAGTTACAATTGTTGATGAGACCATGGAGTATCATTACAACATGTTATTATCCCATAATGTTAAAATCTAACAAACATGTTTAACAAAACAAAGTATGCAGGAGGGGTTTCAAAAGAACAAAGGATTTGAAGTCAAATAGCCATAGGTCTGAATCCCACCTCTCCTACTTACTAGCTAAGCAAGGGACTTATCCTCCTCGAACCTCAGTTTCTCCATCTTTAGAATGGGGTAATTATACCAGGCCCCTCAGAAGGGCTGGGCAGACTCAGAGAGGGGGCCTGTGAGACCCAGCGTGGAGTGGAGGCTTAGCCCTTGGGCTAATTTTAACTCTTCTAATTCCTGTTAGCTGGATCTGATCCAAAAGGGCGTCTTTTTCAGCTGGCGTTCCAGGGGAGGAGCCCAAGTGTAACATCTGCCTGGGGAAAACATCAGGACCGCTGAATGAGATCCTCATCTGTGGCAAGTGTGGCCTGGGTGAGTGGCGGAGCAGGGCACTGAGAAGGCCCTGACCTGTGGGTCCCTGATGCACTGGCCTCCCGTGGGCACTGCTCTGTGCTGCTGTGGCTCCGGCTGGCTTCCTGTTTCTCCTGGAGCACCAGGGTGAAAGGGAGCCAGTCTGAGAATGAGGACCCAGGGAGGGGACCTTGGGGAAAGCTGGGAAAGTACAACCGGGTACGTAGTTTAGGGTCCTCCCAGGTGGGCAGGATGGGTGGAAGGGGTGCAGGTGCTGAAGCTTGATGCTCTGCCCACTGGCCAGTGCTGTCTTTTAGTCCCCAGCCTGATACCAGGTTGGCTGAGTAGCATCACCAGCCAGTCTCCTGGCAGATGGCGGGCAGAGCTCCTCCTAGGCCTTGCCACAGCCCTCCCAGCCTTGCTGCCTTCGGGCCAACTGGCCTTTGGCCACTGCTTCCTCTCGGGCACTCACACCCCCTCCTCTGCCACAGGTTACCACCAGCAGTGCCACATCCCCACAGCAGGCAGTGCCAACCAGCCTCTGCTCACACCCTGGTTCTGCCGACGCTGCATCTTCGCACTGGCTGTGCGGGTGAGCCCTCCCTCCTTTCCTGTCCTTCCCGGGGGGAGCCCAGAGGCCCCTAGGCTCAGGCCTGACTGCTGATGACAAACGATAAGCTCCAAGCAGAAGGGTCCCCCTGGGGCTTTGCAGACAGATGGTGCCTCTGCCTCTGACCACTGTATGTCCTTGGTTAGGTTCCAGAGCCTCCCAAACCTCAGTTTCCTCAGCTGTAAAATGGATGCAGATATGGTGTCAGCAGTAGGAGGCCCGGGTTAATGGTGTCTTCCCCATCAATACCACACTCAATATATACTGGTGACTGTACCCATACGTGCTTATTACTGTTAATACTATCATTAATGGAGATCCTTCTGGAATAGAGGATGAGCTTGGAATTGACGAGAAAAAGCTCCTTTTGTTCCTGATTACTTTGGAATATCTGTGCATCCTCCAAGCCCTGGGTAGCATTTTCCTTAGCAGCTGTGTGCTGACTTGTGTGGTACAACCCGGGCCAGCAGGTGACTCGGGCCCTCATCTCCCCCCAGAAAGGTGGCGCGCTGAAGAAGGGAGCCATCGCCAGGACACTGCAGGCCGTGAAGATGGTGCTGTCCTACCAGCCCGAGGAGCTCGACTGGGATTCGCCTCACCGCACCAACCAGCAGCAATGCTACTGCTATTGTGGCGGACCCGGAGAGTAAGACTGCAGGGGCAGGGCGCAGGGGGCCCGAAGACTGGGGTGGGCCCACTGGGTCAGCTCGCAGGAGGAGGGTCCCCAGAGAGGTGGGGCAGGTTGGGGAGCATCCTACTGCCCCTGGTAGGCCAGCAAGCCAGGAAAGTTGCCAGGAGACCTTGAGGGGTGGGCCTGAAGGTAAAGGTTTGGGGGGGATGGGAGGGGAGAAGACTCAAGGTGAGAACCTGAAGATTAAGGCTGGAGGACCAGGCTCCTTATGGCATGGGGGCACTTTCTCTGCAGCGGAGACATGGAGTGGGTAGAGGGGAGAGAGCAGATACCTTTCTTGGAGCCCCATAGAAAAGAAGGAATAGAAAGAAGGGAGTAGCAAAGAGTAGCGAAGTGCCTAGGCCTCACACTCCAGGATGTCCAGAATCCTGGCTCTGCCCCTTAGCAGGTCAGTGCAATCCCGGAGCCTCACTTGTCTTACTTTTTTTACTTCATGAGTTGGTTGTGAGCTGATTAATTCCTATAAAGGCTCATACAGTGGCTAGTACTTGATAATCACTTAAAAAACATGAGCTGCTGGTGGTGATGCTATTGTTGCACAGCAGTTAAGATTGCCTTTTCTCAGTCAGAGCCAATGAAATGGGTGAGACCCTTTTCCCTAGAGAAGCGCAAGCAGAGCCCCTATCCTGGGAATGCTGTGGAGGGAATTCTTGCCCTGCTATGGGGCCAGAGTATAACTGATCTTCCTGGTCAACCTGGCCTTCCATGAAGCCACAAACCATTGAGCTTGTTCCTTTTGGCTGCTATGCCAGGCATTGTGAAAGGAACTGCAGACATAACAGGTAGAGTCTTTGCCTTCAGTCTTCCCCTTCCTGCAGGACCCCCTAAGTCCAGAATCTCAGACTACAGTCCTTTTGACAGGAACTGAAAGTCTGAAGGCTACGCTTACAGCTCAGCGGGGTAACTCAGAAAAATCACTTAAACTGTTGCCTCTCTTAAATGGGCTTAGTTACCTTAATTGCCCATGAACCTCCCAGAGTGTTGGGAGGCCTAATAGATAACAGATGGACAATGCTTACAGAAACCTTTACAGCACTGAGGTAGTGCTTCTCACTGTTTAATGGGTGAGTTTTAAAAATGCATCTCCTAGAGGCTTCCCTACAGATTGAACCCTTGTGAAATGAACCAAGGAATCTGCATGTTAACCTGCACCACACCCAACAAAGGGTAAAAAAGCATTAACTGTTGTTAAACGGAATACCTTTTTGCTCTTTGTTCATAGTAGATGACTAATTGTTGAATGGCCATGAAAGGGCAGATAAAAGGCAAGTAAAACCAGACATAGGCCTTCCCCCAGTGACTTACAGGAAGCCATCATGCTTCCATGAAGTCTCTCTGGCAAACCTGTCCTTGTCACTGATGTTTGGGAAGCAGTGTTGGGGGCACAGCCCAAAAGAGGGGCTCCAATGTGCCATGGCAGGAAGAACATGGGCTTTGAAGTTGGGGAGACTAGGATTTGAATCGCCATCCTCCACTTGCTTTCTGAGTGACCTTGAGCTAGCCATTTTAACCTCTGACTCATATGTACTATGAGGACAGTGGTCCACCTTTTACCAGATGGTAAGATCCAATGAGGTGGCATGTGTCTGGCTCTCTGGACATGCCCTGGACTAGCCTAGGCATTCAACAACTGCCAGTTCTCTTCCCTCTCTTCTGGTGGAGGGCGAGACTTTGGTTGTGAGCCTCATGCCTAGCTGACCCTGCTTCTTCCACCTCTCCAGATGGTACCTGCGGATGCTGCAATGTTACCGGTGTAGGCAGTGGTTCCACGAGGCCTGCACACAGTGCCTCAATGAACCTATGATGTTTGGAGACCGGTAGGTGCGAATTTGGCCCAGCTGGGCCTTGTGGGTCAGGTGATAATGGGACAGGAGGGATGGCAGCAGCAAACTCCCACAGATTGCCTGCCAGGTGTTAGTCCATAGCTGTGTACAGGAAGCAGCTCAGGGTAAATAAGGCTCCAGCTCTGTCATAAAGGGTGTGCTAGACCGCATCCCTAATTGCCATTGAATTGTGGGGTACCTTAGGCAAATCCCACCCTTCCCAAGTCTGTCTCTTCAATGGTCAGGGGGAGAAAGGGTGACTGACACAGTCCCTGCCCCAGCTCTGCCCAGAATTGTGGGAGGCACTGGGGAAATGGATGATTTCTAACCAATGGGACTATGCTAATGGGAGACACTGTATATGTCAAACCATGTATTGCATGTTTTTAGTGTCTCGTGTTGTAATTGTGTGTGTGTCAGAGGGAAGAGGGTGACCACTATAGCTGACCTAGCTCAGCTCACTCTCTGTGAACTCAGCTGCACTCCAGGGTAATATTTGGGGGAAGGGGATTAAGAGTAGGGGCGTGTTCTTTGGTCCCTGTCCTGCCCTGTCCTTACCCACCCCACCCCCAGAGGCTAGCAGCCCCAGAGTGAGAATGCTGACTGGGAATGCAGGTGGGGGTGAGGGGCTGGCCTGGGTAGGGTGTCAGAGCCCCTCCCACCACAGGCCCCTTTCTGCCTCCCACAGGTTCTACCTGTTCTTTTGCTCTGTGTGTAACCAGGGCCCAGAGTACATCGAGAGGCTGCCCCTGCGATGGTGAGTGAGTGGGGCTTGGTTCAAACCCGCTGCTGTCCTTTCCCAGTTCTCCCTTCCCTCCTCCCTCCAGTTTGCCCTGTTCCTCACTGGGCGCATCTCCTTGCCCTCTTGCCCAGGGTGGATGTGGTCCACCTGGCCCTCTACAACCTGGGAGTGCAGAGCAAGAAGAAGTACTTTGACTTCGAAGAGATTCTGGCCTTTGTCAATCACCACTGGGAGCTCCTGCAGCTTGGCAAGGTATGCAGGGCAGCAGATGTGAGCGGCAGGAGTCAGGGATGTCTGTCCACAGCCTCGCAGTGCAGGGCTAGGGGCTGGGTGTCTCCCTTGAGCTGCTGCACCCTTTGTCCAAGCCTCTGACCCAAATTTTGACCATGGACAGTTGTAGCCTCAACAACGCAGCCCCTGGGATCTAGGCCATCGGTCAAATCTGGGCAAAGCAGGGCTTTTTTGCTGAAGTGCCTGGACCTCTCCAGATTCCCTGGCTAGGATGGAAAGTGGAGTGGGCCTGCCCCCTGCTGATCCTGTCCTGAACAGTGGGCTCCAGGAGCCCGGGCACCTCAGATCCAGGCAGTGAGGTAACAGCGCCTCTGAGAATGTCAGCTGCAGAGCAACTTGTGGTAGTCAGCTCCTGGGCTGGGGCCAGGCTAGAGCTGGAGCCAGGACCTTCCTAACCATGTCTACAAAGGGATGCATCCCTTGGGCCCTACTGGCACCTTCAGAATTGTCTCTGCTGCATGCAGAGCCAGGCATCTTCTCCACTGTCCCAGATTTTCTTTGATGAGACAAGGAATAAAGAAAAAAGTAACTTTTTTGCTTGGCACAAACTTTACATAACATCTTCATTTATAGTGTTTGATCATTGATAAGACATACCTATTATAAAGCCTTAAAAGACAGCATTTTTAAAAAACTTTTTTCCTGATTTATAAAATATTCATACATGTTCCTATTAGAAAAAAATTTAAATTGGCAAAAAGCATTAGGAAGTGGACTTAAAAATCCATATTCTCGTGTCACACTACCTAGAAATAACTAGAAATACTGCATAGATACCTTTCCTTCCAGCCTCCCTTCTCTGCATATTTTTCTGTTTATATGATATAGCAAAATAATTTTAAGTCATCTTTTCAACTTATATTACACAATTATTTTCCTATATGAAAGAATCTTCATAAACATTTTAATGGCTATTATCAGTTTCCACCACAGTTTACTGGTTTCCTTACTGTTGAGTGTAGTTTTTTTTCCCCTCTATTTGTCCAGTACAGTAAACAGTTTTGTAATGTTTTTGTTACCAAAGTTTTTTATTGTGTTCCACATTACTATATATCTTTTTGTTGTTGTTGCTTAGTGGAGATCAAACCCAGGGGCACTCTACCATTGAGCTACACTGCCAGCCCTTGTTTTTTACTTTGAGACAAGGTCTTATTAAGTTGCCTAGGTGGGACCTGAACTTCCTTTTGTCTTAGCCTTCCCAAGTGCATAGATCTCATGGAGAACCATTCCTGGGTGAAGGGTATGAACATTGTTAAAGCTCTTGAAAGATTTAGGCTGAGAGTTTGTCTCTCCATTTACAGATGGGGAAATGAGTTCAGGAAGTAAAAAGATTTGTCTGAGATCTGAAATAAGTCAGTGGTCCTCATCTGGAGGACTCAGAGACTTCAGGAGGGGCAGGGGAAGGGGACAGTGGGGTCTCCTCAGACTCCACAGGGGGGGTCTAACTGTCCTGCTGGCCTGTTCTTCCCTAGCTCACCAGCACCCCTGTGACAGATCGAGGACCACATCTCCTCAACGCTCTCAACAGCTACAAAAGCCGGTGCATGCAAGGATGGAGGGAATGCCTCAGCCTCTGACAGGAGGGACTGCAATCTAAACGCTTTTCCTACTCACAGCCTTTGCCCAAGCTGTGCTCCCTTCCTGTCTTCCTGGCCTTCTCTGTGACTGAATCATTCCTTCCCATTCTTTAGGATCCAGGGAGCAAAGACAATCAGGGTTCTTCTTTTGCCAAGCACCCCAGCATCCTGATTCATCTGGATACTGGGCTCAGCTCCATAGGGGAGTGGTCCCGCTCTGAGAATCTCTCCTGCTCAAACCAGCTAGGGTCCTGGGCCAGGCACTGAGTGGTCAAATCACCATCTCTCGGGTGGGCTGCAACCTTCTAATGCATCCCCCAGCCCATGTCTTCCCCTTCAGAGTTCTCAGGACCCAGAGCCAGCTACATCCCTCCCCACCACCACCACCATCACCATCACAGGAAATGCCTTGGCTCCCTATCTGGGTATTCAAGGTCTTTTATGATCAAGCCCTGCCTATATGTCTGTCATTGTCCCTTTTGCTTGAGTGCCAGCCACTATGCCCTTGGCTCCTCATCCAGTGCCTTCGCTGTTGCTCTTCCCTTTGCCTGTGTTCTTCTGTCCCATTTAACCATCTGTTCCATCAGCGAGAACTCACAGAGCTACTGCTCTGTGTCAGCCCTGTATAGGTCTGAGCCACGGTGGAGAGTAAGACATGCTTCTGTGAAAGCTTCCCATATACCTTTAGCAAAATGACCTGCTCCTACTTCTTCTGGTTTGGGGCTCAGCACAGCCCACTCCTCAGTATGCAGCCTCTGGCCTCAAAGTGGACAGGCTCTTGAGGGCAGTCCTGGGTCCAAGCCATCTCTGCAGCCTCAAGGCTGCTCGGCCAGTGTTGAAAGGAGGAGGAAGTGTCCAGTGGTGCCTCTCCAGTTTTGAAGGAGACCAGAAAACAGAATGAGATGGAATGTGTCTGGACCCCAGGAGTTCCACTGTGAACTGAGGAAGCCCTTCCTGTAGGAGGCAGCCTTGGAGCTGATTGAGGCAAAGAAAAGGGATGAGAGGAGCAGCAAGAACCACACACTTGTTGGAGGAGTCATCAGCCACATTCTCAACTGAGACCCCTCACTCGGTGGGCTTGGAGGAATCAGTGTCCCCTAAGGCCACTCTGGGTTAGCTCAGGGGTCATGGGAGCCAAGAGGCTTGTCTAACACTCGCACCCAAGCTCCCCACAGCAACAGACTGACTGACTCCAGGGCCTTCTCTCCTTATCTATCCCCAGGTTCCTCTGTGGCAAGGAGATCAAGAAGAAAAAGTGCATTTTCCGCCTGCGCATCCGCGTCCCACCCAACCCTCCAGGGAAGCTGCTACCTGACAAGGGCCTGGTACCAAGTGAGAATGGTGCCTCCTCTGAGCTGCGTAAGAGAGGAAAGAGCAAGCCTGGGTCAGTGCTTGGGGACCCCGGGCTAGGGCTGCAGCCAGACTGGGGTTCTCTGTTCCCAGCTCCCACGGCCAGCAGATGGGCCATGAAGTGGGCCCACACAATCTGGTGGCATCCACATAAGCCAGGAGCCCCTACATCCAGCTGCAGGCACCCTGAGAGGGCAAGTTAGGGGCCCCCAGACTCCTTCTATCACCACCCCCTAAGCCTCACTTAGAGGAAGCCAGATCAGGGACCTAGCCTGCTGCACTAGGGCTGTGCAGAGAAGGGGTCGTCTGAGTGAGCTGAGGCACCCTCACCCTCCTGGCTGAGCCTGCCCCAGCTTCCTGGGTGTTGGGACAGGGCTTCTGGACACACATGACTGAGGAGCACCTTTTCTTTTTCCGCTGAACAGCAGCCCCTCTAGGCCCCCCTATACCTTCCTCCCCGGGCTGCTTGGGGAGGTACTGCCATGTGCCATCCTTCTGAGCCCGTCCCACTCCCACCACTGGCGAGGCTCCTCCCTCTGGGCCACCCTCTGGCCCTCAGGCTCTGACTGGGCCATCCTCTCCCTTTTCTGTCTCCACAGTTTGTTGCCTCACGAATTCCAGCAGCAGAAAAGGCGAGTTTATAGAAGAAAAAGATCAAAGTTTTTGCTGGAAGATGCTATTCCCAGTGTTAGTTCCTTGTTTTCTTACTCTCCACTTTCACACGCAGGACCAGCACACATTAGGGATTCCCTCGCAGAAAGCAAAGTCCTCCAAGCCCAGGGGACTGTCCTGTTTCCTATCACAGTGACACACAGAAAAGCCGAGCACTCCTGAGACCACTCCCTCATCTCTCCAAGATCTCCTGAGAACCCAAACAGGGGCATGTAATATCCTCACCCCCAGGGCCGGGAATTTAGCTCAGTGGCACTTCGCCCCCCTCAAAAGGGCAAAGTCCTGAGTTCAATCTCTGGTACTGAAAAAAAAAAATCCTTGCCCCTGCCGAGCAGGTGGGGAAACTGAGGGCAGGGTGGGAGAGTGACTTTCCTGCAGTCAGACATCAAGGTAGAAGCCAAGCCCAACCTAGAACCAGGACCCTAGGGCACATCTTCTGCATCCTTAATGAAGCCCTCCCTGTGAACAGTAATATCAACCATGCTCCTCTCCCTAGTACTTTACAGTTTAAAGGCACTTTTACGATCATTATTTAACTTCATTGTGCTTCCTCACACCTCTAAGTGTGAAGCAGGGAAGGTGTTAATGTCCCCATTTTGCAGTTGGGGTAGCTGAGGCCCAGAAAGATCAAAGGTCATCCAGTGGGCTGGGGACAGCACCAGGACAAGAACCAGGTGACTTGGCTCTTTGGTCAGGACACAGAATAAAGAGGAGTGGACAGGTCTTAACCCCAGCAGCCCTGGCAGGACAGCGGACGGCTTGTGTGGCCCTCAGCAGGGGAGAGGGAATGTCGGGGAGGCAGATTTGACACTGGCTGACACATCCTCCTTTTCCTTCCTGTGTCCACAGAGTGACTTCACTTCAGCCTGGAGCACCAACCATCACCTAGCCAGCATATTTGACTTCACGGTGGATGAAATTCAGAGTTTAAAAAGGTAGCGGTGAGGAGCCCAGCAGAAAAGGCTGCTCTGGAGACTGGGAAGGAACTGATGGGGAGGCTCCCTCCACCCCCCAGCAGTGGGCAAAGCTCTGGAAGGGGACAAGGCAGAAATCGCATTCTGAAGGAGTGGGGCCTCCCCTGGGGTCCTTCTGGAACCCCTAGTTACAGGGTCCATGTTGTGTCAGGCTACAAGAGGCTCTTTTAACACTAGAGCTTTCATGCTTCCCAGAGCAGCCCTCACTTCTGGCACTCCCTTCCTCACACAGCAGACTGAAGTCCCTGTGCTTACCCCACCCTGACGATGCAGTTTGATACTCGTCTTTGCTCGTATCACTCTGGGTCTGAAATGCTCTCTTCCCTGCTGAACCCCATTTGGAGACTCAGGAGCCTGCTTCCTCCAGGAGGCCTCTGCTGGCCTCCAAGGCTGTGCTGGACCCTACCTGTGTCTGCCCACAGCACCCCACAGGAGGGACTGTACCTTTTATCATCTTAGTTCCAATGTCACTGAAGCTCATTCAGTGCTTTCTGGAGGCCATGGAGGAAGGAAAGACTTAGATTCAGACAGATCTGAGCTCCAGACCCTGCTTACCAGTGTATGTGGTTTTAGTTAAACTCCTCAGCCTCCATGAGGCTCCTCATGTTTTCTCCAAATAAGATACTACAAATGGAAGCTCTTTTGATTGTAAGGTGTTGCACAGGTGTCTTGTGCCTCATTAAGTATTGTCGTCACCAGTGCCTCCATCACCCCTAGGGGACAGTGGGCAGGGAAGGCTTTCTGAGCTCCTAGACTTTGAAAGCTGGACGAGTAGAACATGGACAGGCAAGTGTGATGGTGGGAAGCTCAGGAGAAGGAAGGTGGCCTCTGCTGGGATGATGGATACATATTAGAGGGACAGAAAGAGGCCTGAGGTCCCAAGGGACCCCAAGAGCCAAACTGGCAGGACCTTGCTAGGCCTGGCTAATGTCAGGCTCACCGTTTCTCCCCTCTCAGTGCCAGCTCAGGCCAGACCTTCTTCTCAGATGTGGACTCCACCGATGCCGCCAGTACCTCTGGCTCCGCCTCCACCAGCCTCTCTTATGACTCCAGGTGAGCTCCTGGGGGCTACCCTTCAGGCTCTGCAAGCACTGCCATCGCCCCCATACTGTTGCAACCTGTGGGGCTCATTCTGTGCATGAGTCTCGGCTGGCAGACCTCATCCATCTGCTATTTTGAGAGTCTGGCTCTGGGCTGCTCTGATTCCAAGTGACTAGGGCTTAGGTGGGGCTTAGGATAGGCATTCAGGTGCCATCTCTTTGAAAGGCTCTTTGTGAGCTGCAGAATGTCCTGTGACTCCTCTGGCTGATTTCAGTTCTAGGGTTGTTTGGCCAGAGACTGTTTCATTCTGTAGGGTTCTAGGCCTCTGCGTGCCACGGTTTGCATGTCTGTGCCTCTCGGCCTGCAGGGTCCCCTGCCCCTGGTCCTTGGCTGTCTGAATCTGGTGTCTGTCTTTCAGGCTGTCTAAGAGAAAGAGCCATTTATTTGGGAGGAAGGGAGGATAGCATCTCATAGAGTTAAGTCTGGGAAGGAGGACAGAAATCCCTGGGGCCTCAATGAGGATACAGCCTCTTTGGCAGTAGCTAACTATAACACCATCAGGAGGGTGGTGCTGCAAAGCACAAGGATTTCTCCAGCACTCAGGTGCCTCTAACTATTTTAGGATACATAAGGCCATTGCAGAAGTAGAACTAAAAGTATAACACTGGTAGAGGTATGTCTGGAAGTATCTCTCTACCTCCAAACATCTCTGTCTAGGTGTCTTTCTCTATTTTCTCTGTAATTCTGTTATGTTTCTCAGTGCTAGGGACTGAACCCAGGGCTTCATGCATGCCAGGCAAGCAATCTGCTACTGAGCTATACCCCTAGCCGTGTAGTTTAATGTCTTTTTTCCTGTTTCTTTCATTCTCATTAATGCTTCAGGTCTTGGCTTCCGTTGCTATGCATTTGTGAATGTGTACTTTGCCTTGTATGCCCATTTCTTTAATACCTCTGCCTAGGTGGTATGAGTCTTTACTTCACAAGCCCTTTCTCTACGCCTACTTGTACCAACTAGCTCCAAAGAAGTCCAGGTGAGGGACAGGGCAGCCTAAGCAGTACTGTGTTGAGGCACAGAAAATGGCAGGAACATACCTACATTTGTGTGGTCCTGGACCCCAGATACAAAGAGCACACACTTTAGAGTCAGACTACCTAGGTTGAATCCTGTCTGTGCAACTCTCCAGCTGTTCACTTTTCTGCAGGCTCAGTTTCCCCCTCCCTTACAGGATTATCATGAGGATGCAGTGAGATAAACCCATGCCCAGGACCTAGCACTGTTCCTAGAAGCTAGAAGATTGCTTAGGGCAAGAAACTGTTAGTTGTTCCATCTCATTCCCATCATCTTCCTCTTCCCCTGCCTGATATAGACGGACAGTGGGCAGCCGAAAGAGAAAGCTGGCAGCCAAAGCGTACATGCCCCTGCGGGCCAAGAGGCGGGCGGCCGAGCTGGGTGGATGCTGTCCCTCGGACAGCAGTGCCGAGGGGGCTTCGGGCCCTGATCGGCCAGATGAAGGCATCGACAGCCATACATTTGAAAGCATCAGTGAAGACGACTCGTCTCTGTCCCACCTCAAGTCCTCGATCACCAACTACTTTGGTGCAGCTGGGAGGTTGGCCTGTGGGGAGAAGTACCAGGTGTTGGCACGGAGGGTCACGCCAGAGGGCAAGGTTCAGTACCTGGTGGAATGGGAAGGGACCACCCCTTACTGACTGCCCCTTGGGTGGATGCCCGAAGCCCTGAAAACCAAAGGAGGGACAGTAGAAGCCATAGGCTCCCATTTTCCCCAGGCTGGGGCTGGGGAGGGAAGCAGGATGGAGCTGCAAGTGCCTGGCCAAAGGCCCCGCTGCCTGCTCACCAGGCCAAGGCCAAAGCCTGCACTGCTGCTGTGACAGTTGTTCTCTGGCTTCCCTAGGCCCATCACCCCTGTGCCTGGGTCTGAGGTCTTGCTGGCTCTTGTTTAGTGTCTACACGCTCCACACCCCTCAAACTCTTTACTGGTTCCTCCGAATTTGTGTCCCCTTAGCTCTGTAACTCTTTCTCCTCAGGCCCAATCTTTTTGTCCCTGAGTCTCCATTCCTGCACCTCTCATCCCTTTGGGTGTGTGTGTGTTTACACATCCTCCACGTGCACACCTGACCCCTGGGCAGCAGTCCTCCTTGGAACCCCATTATAAGAATGGGAGCCCAAGGGAGAATGGCTGAAAGTGGAGCTTCTCTTCCTCCCTTTCCTGCCACTTCCTCTTGCTCCTGGAAGCGGGTGAGGGGAAAACCCATGTGGCAGAGACACTGGGACCCAGGACCTGGGGAGTCAAGAGCTGGGTCTCTGCTGCAGAAGACATCAGCGTCAGGCCCCATCTCAAGGGAAACCAAAAGTGGGGGGAGGGGTGGGACCCTCATTTTTGCTGCTTCCAGAGATATTAGAAACTGACTCATTTGATTGGAAAATGGAAAGAAGTGCCTTGACTAGGAGTGGGGGACAGGGGCACCAGACTGATACCAGCCTTGCCAACTGCTGCTATGGCCTCCAGCTTGGCTGGGTTTTGCGGACCACCAGCTGGAAGGCGAAGGAAGGTAGAAGAGAAGCAGCAGCAGGACAGCAGGCCTGAGAAGCTTGTTTTTCCATTACTAGAATGGCCCCCCTGCCTGCCTGTGAGCACTCGGGGTCTCCGACATAGCTTAGACAGCCTCTGCCTTAAACCTCAACTCCTACAGTGCCTTTCAAAGGGATCTCACCTCCTGAGCATAGCCCACTTACATCTCTGCTTTCTTGGCACAGCCCAGGCAGGGACAAGTAGGCACTGGGCCCAGATCTCTGCCCCACAGCTGCTGTTAGAGACCCCCAGCTGGGACCAGGTGGAAGGGGAGCTGGGATCCAATCTGTGGCTTCCTGCTGGCCAGTGAGCACAGCAAGCTCACAGGCCTGCTTTCAGGCTCCTGAGAAAGCCAGGATGTGTGGGGCCTGTTTCAGCACCTTCCCTACTTGGGCTCCAGAGACTCTGGGCCTGAAGGGCAGAGGTGGAAAGGGGGGCCCACTTGGGAAGACAGCACAAGGCCTAACAAGGTCACCCGACCCCTACCCCAGCATTTCATTCATACCAGATAATAGCTGCATTACTGCCAACTGACCTTACAACCTTGTGCACCTTCTAAAAGATCATGGTTTTGAATTGCTGCTTTTAATAACATTTGTTATATTAAAGTTATAATTAATGTGTCTTGTTAACAGTGTAAAAATTCCCTTTGAAAAATCCTATTTTCCTGATAGCAGCTGTTGGATAGCAGAAGGAACTGGTTCTGGCTTCTACTGTGGCTTTCCAGAGGTTAGGCTTAGGAGGAGGGCTGGACCCCATCCTCTGGCCATCCTGCCACTCCTGCCACTGCTTACAGCATTCAACAATATTCCTGTCCTTATTGGCAGAGAAAATGTGGAAACTTTTTTACTCTGACTCCCTGACCCATGGGGGAGGGGGTATGGATTAGGTGAGGAACATAAAGAAAAGATGGGAAATGAACTCAGAAATAGACTCTATTAAAATGTGTAAATACAGGCATTACAAACTTGGCTCAGTACACCCAGGCACACAATTCTAGAAATGTGAACCAATTCTATGGCTCAACCGGGCTGTGCTGGTCATAACCTGTAACACTAATAATCCCAGCAGGACCTGGCTCCCCACATGTTCGGAGGGGAACTTCACACATGTTACTGATTATTACTTTAAGCCTGTAAATTTAGGGCAGTTTGGAGAGAAATAGAGATTGAAGGGGTACAGAACAGGTCAGTTGTGTAGAAAGGTGAAGGCCATGAGTTCAATTGAATTCTAATAGTTCCAGGGGCAAACTATAGCCTATTAATCCCCAGTGGAGGGCCTAGTTGTGTTAGTAACAGCTGCCTTTAAACATTTGCATTAACTACCACTCCCACTGCTTCAACTTTTTAGTCTCCTTTGGAATAAAACCACAATGGTAGCTGGGATGGGAGGATTATTCATTCTTTGGGCTGAAATCAATGGAATTAAAGAAATGCTAGGTGCTAGGTGTTGAAAGACCTCAATTCTAGCCCAAGGTCTGGTCCATGAACAGCTCTCTAGCCTCCTAAAGCCTGTGGCCACCAGGCTGAAGAGTGCCTCCTCTGTGGTCTGGACCAGTGCTTGCAAGTTCACAGCATTTACCTTTGGGGTTTTGGAACAAGGTATTAGAATTCTCAGAACTTCCCCAAACTGTCAGTTATTCTTAAGGTACTTTACTCCTTATACTTTTTCTTCATCATTATAGATATCTGAAAATATTTTGTTTAATAAAAAGGACGTATTAAGCTTAGTAGTATTTACTGCAAAGAAGATATAAAAGACTAGAAAATGCCAAGGGACATCTACTGGATGTATTCAAATAGTAATGTGATATTTGAATATCCTAGAAAGGGTAACAGCTCATAAAATCAACCAAGTGTCCAAATTGCCACCTTAAGAATTTGTTTTACTCCCAAAGTTTATTTCTTGGAATGCCACTCACAGGATCTATATAAAATTACACAGATAGCAGAAGACAGGGCCAGATGCATTCACTCCTGACATGGCAACAACCAAAAGCAGGATTAATTAGATAGTGATCATTTCTCTCTTACATGCTCTTGTCTCAGTTCTTTAACTCAGCATGTTAGTGTTTTGTGCTCTTATTCTTAGTTTGATGAAGGTGGATTTTTTTTTCAAACTGATGTTTCTGTACTAATAAGCTTTAGTACTCACAGAATAATTACGATACTTTTCTTCATTTTCTTAACTGATTTTTCTAGAGCTTCTGGATTAAAAGCATACATTTCCTAAGAAATGCTAGAAAGGGATTTTCACATGGAGGTAATGGTTGAGGATCTAGCTCTGGCTTCTACAATGTCTTTCTGGGAAGGCAGTGTGGGATGGTGACCATACCATGTAGACTGGAGTTACACAGATCCTAAAGGTCACTGAACTCTGAATCTATTCCTTCATCTGTGAAACGGATAGGAGTGAATGATGCAATATATGTGTAAGCACTAGGCCAACTGACTTATATTACAGAAAGAGATGTTTCAAAAACTAACTCTTTTCCTTTAGAGCTGACTACGCAGGTTCTCTGGGTCTGTAGGGACTTTACCTTCTTTGAATCAAAGGGAATAAGAACATTAGTTTTAAAATCACAGACTCAGGTTCACATCCTAGCTCTGCTTCTTAGTTGAAGTGTCTTATACTTTCTGTTCACCAGCAAAAGGAAGACAATGAACAAGGATAACTTCTAAGACCTTAGAAGCTAGGACAGTACCTTGCTGACAGAACTGGTGCTTAGTAAATGTCCCTCTCCTCCCATTTCCCATAACAGTCAATTCTGACGTTTATGCAAATGCAGACCACCCAAAAAGTTTTCTGATTAACACCACTGCACAGAAAATGAACGAATAAAGGTCACAGACAGAACAATCTCCTTTGAAATTAATCCCCCTTTAATAAAGTTCAAGGAAAAAAGTTAGATTTCACCAATTCCACAACTTAAACCATGTACTCTAGAGAAAGCATCCATTGTCTAAATCCTTGAAACATCAACTGGGGAAGACACTTGCCAAATTCCGTACAACAGATCAAACAGGTTCAGACATGCCCCTGACCTCAAGCAGGTCATGACCCAGCAATACAAGGGCACTGTAATGCACAAAGATAAAAGGAACACCAGGGCAGGAGACAGTCCTAGCTGGGGAGCCAAAGCTTCCATAGAAGCAGCCATGTGTCACAAGCATTCAAGCAAAAGGGTACTCCAGGCAGAGGGGATGGCATGAACACAAGAATAACATCACACAATGCAGGGGAGCCATCTGTCTGAGGGCAACGATGATGGAAGAGGTGAACTGAGGCAATGTTCTGAAGGGCCTTGAAATCTAGACCTACAAATTGGTCTTTATCCTAAAAGCAATACAGACAATCAACAGGGCACCATAATGCATTTTAAGTAGTGTTTATTTTATACAAGATTTGTATATGTGTCAGAAACTGATCTGTTAGAAAAAGCAAGGGACATCACCGTTAGCATTCTCTATTCTTTTCCCCAGACAGCCTCCCAAATCCCCACTGGCATCCTCTGAACCCTTGGAAGGGCCTCATCCTACAGTTCCTATAAGGTCTTCACAGATGGGTCCTTGGACATCTTCCCCATTTCATATCTGGGAGTACTAAGGTGGGCGAAGCACAGCAGGTGTCAGAACTTCACACACATGTTTTCCTGTAGGAGACCAGCATACCACAGCTGTCTGTGGTTCCCAGCCCTAATGGCCTGTGGTCCCCACAAAATGGAGTTAACTTTGTGACAGATTCATGGGCAGGGCCTGGGTCAAGTCTCTCTTCTCACGGCTAGGACTCAGCATTCCTTGCCTTCCCTATGCTCTTTCACCATGGAGCCGACACGGCATGAGCAGCCACAGAAGTACCACGTGTAACAACATGCCACAGCCTTTCTGGGCATCTATAAGTTGTTTTCTTTAGTAATAAAATGGAGACTAGCTTAGAGCAGTGATTTACTAACTTTTGACAAAGAAAATTCCGCCCCCCCCCCCAAACACACCCAAATCTTGTAGGGGAGCTCAAGCTTAAAAAGCAAAGTCACAGTGCACTGACAGGAGAGTCGGTGGGGGCCTCTAGCTCTTACCCTCCACCAGGCAGCCCCAGGGACCTCTGTCAACCCCTGGAGCTCTGTACAGCAAATGTGAAAACTGGTCTAACAGGTTCCCAGGGCTTAGATTCTGTGCTCAGAACCTACATCTTCCCTGAGCAGGGCACCAGAACCTTCTGACATCTATTACATTCAGACTAAGAAGGAGCCAAGACTTACTGCCAACCCATGAGGCCATGTTTAAGCCCTAATCCTCAGTGCCACCTCAAGACTCCAGAGCAACAAAAGCCTCTTTAGGAAAAATAATCCTGCTGATCTCTGAAATTCCACCATTACAATTCATCCTTTTGAACAAAGAACTTGCTAGCCCCTTGAGAAGGAGGCATTCATCCCATACACTTCCAAGTGAACAAGGTCACTGGATCTATTCCTCCCCATAAGAAGCAGGAGACCAGTCACACCTCAGGCATTTGAGATAGGCTTGGTGACTAAAGATGACAAACTTCATCCTCACTGTCACCTCTTCATTGGTACACACAACCATCCTCACCCTCCCACCTCTGGCCACCTTGAAACAGAGACAAATTCCACTGGGTTCTTTCTGCCCCGACCTTCGCTTCCAGCCTCGAGCCATGGACCTTCAGCCTACACAGGTTGGTTGCTCCTCTGTGCTGACAGTGACAGAGAATCCACAGATTCTGGGAGGCAGGAGACTCACTCTTGCCAGAGTGCAGCCAATGAAGGGTAGAGGCAGTTAGCAAGATGCGCAAGAAGATTCTCCCACTCAGTCCTCCTCCATGGCCTCCTCAAGCCACTTTAAATAGTGTACATCTCCTTGATCCATGGGAAGACTGAAGACCTCTGGGATTTCAAAGGGATGCACCAACCTTTGGAAAGAAGGTGACTAGGATTAGAATCCACCCAGGAAATAAAACCCAACAGGCCAGCCCCAGAGGAGGTTCTCTAATCCGCTACAGCCCACCTGGCCAGCACCATGGCCCGTGACTCCTGAGCCTATGTTTCCCATCTGTCAGCCAGTGGTGAGTTGGGCCATAGCTTTAAAAGTCTCACAGATACAGGTTCAGATTCTGAGTTTGCCATAACTAGCTATGTGGCCATGGACAAGTCACTTACTTTCTCTAAAGTTCCCTACAAAAGGAGGGATAAAAACAGTACCTACCTGGTTGAATGGATGAAAACTAAATACAACAAGGTAGACAAAGAACTCACTTAGTACCTGATTGGCACTTCAACACTCATTAGTGGTTAGCTAGTGTTTTCATCACTAACTCATCCACATCACTGTGCCTTCCCCGTGTCTCCACTGTGTTCCTCCCCACTCAGAACATTCTCCTTGCTCCTGTTCATCAGTTAAAAGCCTCTCTCTTCCTCAAGGCCCAACTCAACCACTGACTTTTTGCACAGGCTCTTCAATGCCCCTTGGCCCACAGTAATCTCTCTTTACTATTTCACTCTTCTCTCTTTACTGTCACCTGGGCCTTGTCACACACAGCAAGTTCTCTTCGCTCTCCAGACTAAGGAAACATGAGGATTTGGGCTTCAGCAAAATTACAACATTAATTTGTCATTTATCTTTTTATTATGTTGATGTTTGCCTGATGGTGCATTAGAAACGATGGGTAAAATTACTGGTACCTTAGTATGAGTCAAGACAGGGGCACCAAACTGTACTCACTGTCACTGTATTTATTTTATTTTATTTTATTTTGTTTTATTTTTTGGTACTGGGGATCGAACTTAGACCCTTGTGCTTGTCAGGCAGGCGCGGTGCCACTGAGCAACATCCCCGGCCCTTGTCACTGTATTCTTTACCACCACACACTGGTGTTTTAACATCTTTGAAGTACTAAAGATTACTATTTTTATTAAATTTCAGCCTTTCACTATGTGTCTTTGTAATATTCTGAGAGGAAAGATGGGAAATACACATAAAGCACTTCTGCTGTATATCTAGGTTCAAAAGTTAGCAGGGGCCAGGGATTTAGCTCAGTGGCACTGCACCTGCCTCACAAGTGCAAGGTCCTGAGTTTAATCCCTGGTACTGCAAATAAAAAGGCCAGGTTTGGTTGCACATGCCTGTAATCCCAATACTTGGGAGGCTGAGGCAGGAGAATCACTGCAAGTTTGAGGCCAGCCCAGGGTACATAATGAGTTCAAGGCCAGCCTAGACTATGTAGGCAAGACTTTGCCTCAAAAAAAAAAAGGGCTAGGGATTTAGCTCAGGGGTTCCGGTGCCTGCCTCACAAGCACAAGGTCCTGAGTTCAATCCCCAGTACCAAAAAACAAACAAACAAACAAAATTGTCACAGACTTGTGTGTCTGAGTCATAGGCTAAACTAGACAACTTTTTGTTGGAACAACATTTTTGCTCTGAAGCTCAAGTTACCCTAATTTGTCAGTTTTACAAATTATGGTAACTCTGGTTTGAGTATTAGGTAGACATTTTCTAAATTAGGAACAAAGCCCATGATTCAAATGAAGACTATTTACATCATTTATTGCCATTGATGTTTTGAAGCAAAAAATTAGAATTTTAGAAAATTTGAATTTATTAAAAGCATAAAATTGTTCCAAAATGGTTCTGAAGAGATCCAGATGTCTTAGTAAGCCAGATTTTGAAAAAAATATATAAAATGATGTCATTTTCCTCACTAATTTTTTTTGTTTTTGGAAAATATTACTTTCTATAAAAATACAAGTTGGGACGGCTGGGGATTTAGCTCAGTGGTTCTGGCACCTGCCTTGTAAGCACAAGGTCCTGAGTTTGATTCCCCAGTACCAAAAAAAAAGAAATTTAAAAAAAAGAATACAAGTTGGGGGCTAGAAGTATAATCCAGTGGTAGTGTACTTGCCTACCATATATGAGACCCTGAGTTCAATCCCCAACACCATACACACACAAAAAGAGGAAAAAGGACTTCTTAAGAGTTGGTGGCTCAATTCCAGCTCTCCTGCTTCTCAAGCTCATTCATTTGGTGCCCAGCACATCCCTGGCTAGTCTTATCGTAAGTGAGTGACAAAAGATGCCAGCCTTACCTGATATAGCTGGAGAGCACGGGGACCTTGGAAGTCCTTGTCTTTATCAACTGCAAAAAAAGAAAGAAAATATCACTACTGTAAGACTGGAGCCCCAGCTCTACCCCTGCTTACTCATCTGGCTATTTAAGAGACAGTGCTCCTCCTGAGTCACCAGGGTAGGTCACTAGCTCCCAAATCAGCCTTGGACATCAAAAACCTTCAATCATTTGCTCTTCCCTAATTTTTAATTAGAACCTGGGAAAAAGCCTTTGTCTCACTCATTCCTCCATCAAGACTTCCTCTGCCCCATCCTCACTCACCAACAAGATCTCAGTGGCTTCTTCTATTTCTCCCTTCCAAAAATACCTGAAGAACAGAACCAAACCAAATTATAACGCTCACAAGAGGAGCCCAGTGAAATGTCAAGCTCGATCCAAGTACATGATTTACTGAGGAAGAAACTTTAAAATCTGCCCAAGCCCATATATTGAAGTCTAGAGGTGTCCAACACCACATAGCTCATCTAGCCCAACCATTCTTACACATCTAACGTTGCCAGAACATTCTTGGAGGTGAGAAGTTCTCCATCTCTTTAAGAAGTCCAACTAACTTGAAGGTTTTTATATAGGATATTTTCTCTCTCTTTTGCTCCCCCTCTCCCTCCCTTCCTTCTTTCTTCCCTTTCCTTTCTCCTTCCCTTCAGTGGTGAGGGTTGAACCCAGGGCCTTGCACATGCTAGGGAAAGTGCTGTACTACTGAGCTACAGTATTTTTCCTTATAGAGTGCCAACATCTGCCACCTAGTTATTTCCCCAACTGGCTACATGAAGAGCCACCCCATGACAGCCTGCAGAAACTCTCAGGACTTCACTCTTCCAAGCTGGGTATCTCTTTCCATGCTCATCCTACTCATGGCTCTTGGCTTCCGAGCCCCTCCCCAACCTCAGGACTGACACTACTTTAATCACTGACCCTCAAAGCTAAGTGCCCATGAATGGATAAATTAAAAAACTCAGAAGGCTTCAGGGGAGAAGTAAGCCTTATATGGAAAGTTTCAGAAGTTAAAAATAAAGTCATTACATTTTAGAGAAGAGTAAAAGAATAACATCATGGGAAAAAGAGATTTAGCCTGAGAAGATCTACACTGACCCAGGACAAACCTAAAATTACCTAGCCCAGTGGTGGCAAACTTATGGCATATGTGCCGGAGCAGGCTGTCTGTGTCTCTGAAAGCTCTAAAAGGTTCACCATCAGTGACCTAGGCCATGGGCCCTGCAGTGTTACAGAGCTATGGTAAAAGAATCACTTATGAGAAAGGATGTACACATGAAGGGAATGCTAGGCTGATATTCTATTTCAGTTACCAAACACTGGTCCTTTCCACTGACTACATCCCTAGATCCTGTACCACTTTTTTTTTTTTTATTTTTTTTTAAAATTTATATATTTATTGGTACATATTAGGTGTACAATACATTTACATTTATCACTGGGTGCTTGTACCTGAACATGATGTATCTTAGTTCTTATTTTTGCCCCATTACCCGTGCGCCCTTCACCCCCTCCACCCTTCCCTATTTACATAACTTTGTTTCCATTTTTTTTCTTTCTCATAATTTTTCCTTTCCCTTCTTTCCTTTCCCCTTCGTCTCCCACTTCCCCTACCCCTTTGGAACTTTTCTTCCTATTTCAAATTATCAGTTATTCATTTTAATCCTTATTTACACTTTCAGTTTCTCACACTAGAAGAACTATTCAGTATTTACACATGTGTGTCCTATTTATTTCACTTAAGAGTATGGCCTCAATATGCATCCATTTAGCTATAAATGTCTCTAGGTTCTCGTTCTTTATGGCTGAGTAGTACTCCATTTTATTAAAAAACCCACATCTTCTTTATCCAGTTTCCAGTTGATGGGCACTTGGGCTGTTTCCAAGCTTTAGCTATTACAAACTGTGCCGCTATGAACATGGGTGCACATATATTGCTGTGGTACGATTCTTTTAATTCTTTGGGGAAGATACCCAGTAGGGGAATAGCTGGGTCAAATGGAACCTCTAGTCCTAGTTCTTTGAGGTATCTCCATACGGATTTCCACAGTGGTTGCACCAGTCTGCACTCCTACCAACAATGGAGAAGTGTTCCTTTCTCCCCACAACCCCGCCAGCATTTGTTACTGGTTGATTTCTTGATATAGATCCTGTACCACTTTTTTAAAATTCAGACACCTGGGCTAGGAATGTAGCTTAGTGGTAGAGCACTTGCCTAGCATACTCAAGGCCTTGGGTTAGATCCACAGCTCTGCAAAAATAGATTCAGAGAACTGGGCCCCATCCTTAGGTAAACTGAATAAATTGAGGCTTGAGTTCAGGAATGGAAATTACAGCCAAATTTGGAAGCCATTGCTACAGATACGTGAGCAGTTAAAGGAATGACATCACCTTTTTCTTCCCTTCTTTATATATGGTGTATTTTTGCTTTTCTTGGGTGAAATAAACTGATTAGTCACCTCTGATTATAAATCAACTATGAACTACTGATTAAATGCCTCTGAATTATTCTTTGACAATTCCCCCATTAGTTCCATGCCCTTCCCAACCCTAAACTCCCAACTCCGCCCCCTTGGCCATCTATGGCAAAACTCACAGTGAAGAAGCCTTGGGCAGGATGTTCACAGAGGCAGCCAGCTTCTTCTCCAGTACTGCCCTAAAACAAAGGGCAAGGGAGGCAGTCACTAGGAGAAGTCCCAGGGTCCTAAGAGAAGGGAAGGGGGACCTGGCTGCTATGAATTAAGTAGACAATTGTTTAGGGTCTCAATGATGGTATGATTTGGGTATGTCCCCCAGAATTCACTGTTAGAGACTTAGTGCTGAAAGTTGGATGTTAATGGTATTTGTAGGTGGGACCTTTGGGAAGTAATTAGTGGAGAGGAAATGCAGGGTCAAAGCTGCTGCAGAGTCTTCACTAATGCAATGCCTATTAGCATCATGGGGGCTGCCTGCAACTGAGACCCAGGACTGTGGAGCTACTCTCATGTGACACCAACCAGTGAGGTGACGCTGGTCTGAAGCCACCAACGCTGTGGGGTCTGGCAGCCCCAGGCCCTGGGAAACTTGGGCCCCTCTGTATCCAAGTAGGAAGACATGGAATCAAGGAAGAATATTCTGGCACCTTCAGACTTACTATTGCTCATCCTATTGGGTTTTGGACTTACAAGTACAAGCCACCACTGATTCCTACTTCTTGCCTATTTTTCCTTTTGGGAATAGCATGTCTGTCCTGTGCTTGTTTCACTATTGTACCCCAGAAGCAGGTGACTTGTCTGATTTCAAAGGCTCCTGGCTGGAGCAAATGTACTTCAGGCATGTTTTGAGTCTCTCAAATCTGACTCAGAAGAAAGAGACAGTGGACTTTGTACTTCTCAGTTGGTGCTGGAACCAGTTAAAATTCTGGGCCTACTGGGATAGAAAGATATACTTTGCATGTGAGAAGGTGACAAACACTGGCGGCCCCAAGCAGAATGCTACGGTTTGAGTATGCCCCAGAATTCATGTGTTGGAAACCTAATCCTCTAGATCATGAAGGTGGCCTAAATGGCATTAGTGACTATATGTGTCTGTGTGTGTTACTGAGAACTGAACCCAGGGCCTTTGCAATGAGCTACAGCCTAGCCCATTTATTTTATTATTTTTTTTAAGACAGAGTCTTGCTAAGTTGCTAAATTGCTTAGACTGGGCTCGAATTTGCAATCCTCCTGCATCAGCTTCCCAGACTGCTAGGTTACAGGCATGTGCCACCACAGCTGGCTGCATTAGTGGCTTTAGAAGAAAAGGAAAAGAGACCAAGCAAGCATGCTTGCTACATGATGTCCTCCACTATGTTATGATGCAGGAGGAAGCCCCTCACCAGATTCCAACATCATGCTTTTAGATTCCTTAGTGTTGTAACTGTGTCTAGATGTGCCCTCAAAGCCTCATGCAGTCATAGGGGGCTTTTCAGAGGTGGTTAGATCTAGAGTGTGTCATGCTGGGATCAAGGGTGTGTGATTACTACATCAGTCTACTGATTGGTTTGGCATCATTCTGGCTAGGATTAAGGGTGTGAGTGCTATACCCATCCTACACCCAGGCAGGTACCCTGCATAAAATGTAAGGGTAAGAAAGAGAGCTAATGTGCTCTCGCCTGCCTGTTTGGCATGGACCATTTCTCCTCTTCGATGCTCCTCTGCCATGCCACCCTGCCTTGGAGCCAGCCGACTACGGACTGAAACCTCTACAAACTGTGAGCCAAATAACACAGTTCCTCCTTTAACTTTGGGTATTGGGTATTTTGTCTCAGCAACCAGAGAAGTAACTAAGATACAACCTCCAGATCTGTAAATAAACCTTTATTATTTATAAATGACCCAGTTTGTGCCATTTGGTTACAGCAACCCAAAACAGACTGAGACATCACCTCATCACCTCTGTTCCTCAAACTAGCACATTCTATTACCATCACACACAGAATCCCTGAATACAGAGCTAGTGCTAAGTCCTTTTCTGGGTGTGAAGTAAGAAAGCAGCTATGGCTAGGCAGTTTTAAGGACAGACCTACTCTGCTTGGGATACAGGAATTAATTAACACTGGACCTAAGGAAGACTTGGGTTGCATTCCCAGCCCTGCAGTAGGATAGCTGTGTGACCTTAGGCAAGTTCTTTCTCTCCTGCTTGAAAGAGGTATTTGAGGATATATTCTGAGAGACACTTCCCCCTCTCAATCTCTCCTGCAGTACTAAAGAACAGGTTTAGTCAGTGGTTTCCAAACTTTCTCACCACCAAGAACTCCTTTGATTATACTACCTCTACCTTTAACTCTCCAATGCACCTGGCTGACACTCAGTGCTTCGGATCTGTGGACATCCATGTGACCACTGATAGTGGATACAACTCTAAGCAAAAGTAAAACAAGATCATACTCATTGTTTGTTTTGACAAACACAGGATCTTTTCACCTTTCATTTTTCTAAAGGTTTCTATCTTAGCCTAAAGTGCAGAATTACTTCCTCTGCAGACCTCTAAGAAAAAAACTTTTATATACCACAAGTTAAAATCCCTGGCCAGATCTTTAAAGCACCAGCTAGCTTTCAGTTTCATAGTCTCTCTGTTCCTGTGCAGAACACAGGTGAACACAGTAAGATGTATCTGAACAAGTGTCACAAAAACAGGAGCATCATTGTCTGAGTCATTTTCCTCCTTACTGGGACACAGTACACGACACCCTCAAATTAAAGGAGGAGAGGTTTATTTTCGCTCACAGTTTGAGAAGTTTCAGTTCATGGTCAGCTGGCCCAACCCAGAAATGGCATGGTGGAAAGGGCTACTGTGGAGGAAAGCTGCTCATGTCATGAGGCCAGGAAGCAGAGAGAGAGAAGGAAAGAGCCAAGGAGGGAGATATGCCCTTCCAGGTCATGCCCCAGTGTCCTGCCTTCACCTGGCCCTACCTTGTAACAGCATGTCAGCAGTAGCATCTCCATAATCTAATCACCTTTCACAAGGTAAAATACCTCCAAACCCATGAGCCTTTGCGGGGTACATTCCCAATCTAAATCATAACACCAAGTCATCATGCAAGGAAGGAAGTGTAGCCAATCATTCACTTCAAGCCCTCAGGGTCAGGCAACCCTGGCAAGCCTTTCTCAGGTCTCAGAAAGCCAAAGAGCCTTGTCTCTGTTCTCTGAAGTCATAGGCCCAGCCAAACCTTATCTGAGGCCTGGTCACTGATCCCACCTTCCCTCAGCTGTTGCCAAGAGAACTGACCTCTTTTCTGGCCCCTTGAGTCCCAGGCTAAAGAGTATTCTATTTAAGGATCCATATTAATGTGACATTATCGCCATCACTGCTCCTTTCGAAAATTCCCAACTGTAAGAAGAGACATGTGGCGCAAACTTTTTTAAGCAACTGCTGTGAGTCTTGCTCATTCACCAACTGAAAAATTACATTCTGTTGGTTCCCAAGGCAGCATGCAAACATGAGGAGTAAATTACACATCTAGAAAAACTAACCCCATTGCCTCACAAGCCCTTTCCAATCTTTTAGGAATGTAAACTCCTCAGTGACTGAATATACCAACTTGTCTTCAGGGAAAAGATTACAGAACTCAGGGTGATTATTACACAAAAAGCCCCTATGGCCTTAAAAAAGGAAAGATGGGGGCAGGCCTACTGAACTGAATTTTAAAGCAGGCACACAACCACTCAAGACCAGCAATGAGTCACACACAGAGGGCTCAGGCTCCAGGAAGCAAAGTGCAGAGCTGCTGAGGCCCCTACAAACTGCAGCAGTAACAGGCCAGTGCGCCTCACAGACCAGATTCATGCTTTTGCCCTCATGGCAGTTTGTCACCAATATTTAATATCAGGCTTTCCACACTCAAAAAATACAGATTAATTAGTTTCTTGCAAAATAACAAATCTACAACAGCCTGCAGTCACACCAGGTCATATTTAGCTAAGCTAGTGCTGAGTAGCAGCTACTTACTGCCTCTAGCAGGAAATACACTTCTCAGGTTAACAGTTCCCGCTGATCCATTCTCCTAACACTTTGGAAGATCGAGAGTTAGCATCTACCATCATCCTTCACTGTTACACCCCAGCTGACTTTACTCTGTTAAGTTACAGGCATCTGTGACTGTGACCCTGGATTAATGTTAGTATACCATCAACTTCAAGAATGCTAAGTTGGACCTCCCTGCAGACAGGCAGGTCTGACCACACCCTACCGAGGTCCCCAGTCGCGCGGAACACACGCCGAATCAGCCCGCTGCAGACAGACAGGCCTGTGCACGCCCTACCGAGGTCCTGAGTCGCACAGAACACGTTGAATCAGCCCA